CTTATTTCATCAAAATGATCATCATCATCAAATTTGTACAGCACATATTAGGCGTGGAAATATACACCCAAAAAATACTTTCGCATCTGTCAAATCCCATGTCAATTTTTGTCACTACAATGCGATAAGTTTTGTTTGCTCTGTTTTTACGTTCGATTACATGCATAATCTGGGATCTTGCAGTGAAATGGTCTGATTGCTACAGATTCGATCAACATTTAACAAGCCATGCATGGCACAGTTCCCGTTAGTTATCAAATTTGAGATATAGTTTTGTTTATAGTAATATAGCTGGAATATAACCATGTCAGGAATATGATTTTTTTAACATTAAAATGATTGACATTTGTATCTGATCGTCAAACAAGTACTTGTCCATATTGAGAGATATTGCTTTAGAACAGCATTCAAAATCAGCCATTTTGAATACATGCATATATATAACATGATGTATAACGAATATATAAAATTTGAATATAATCAGTCAAAGCATTTAAGAGATATGGCTCTAGAAGCCCAATCATTAAAACAAAATGGTCAGCCATTTTGAATCCAATTTGAAAAATAAAATGACGTGCATCAGGAACCTGTAATGTCTAATGTATGTTATAAGTTTGAACAAAAAACATCCATAAATGCAAGAGATGCTTGATATTAAAGATTTAGTTAGCACAAAAATAGCACAAATATATCCGTATTTCTATGACATGATGTATAATGAATATTAAAAATTTGAACATAATCAGTCTAAACAAGATAGAGATATGGGTCTAGAAGCCAACTCATTAAAACAAAATGGCCGACTGGAGGCCATTTTGAATGTTATCTGAAAAACAAAATGATGTGCATCAAGGTCCTATAATGTCTAATGTATATATCAAGTTTGAACAAAATCCATCCGTAAACAGCTGAAAAATGCTTGATTTTGATGATTTTTAGCACAAAAATGGCCGCCATTCGACCATTTTGAATGAGATCGTGAAACAAATTGACATGCACATGTATAATATCATGTATGATGTATGTGTCAAGTTTGATTGTGATTGGTCGAGGCATTTCTAAGATACAGGTCTGGACGCACGCACACACACACGGATGTCAAAACATAAGTCCACGTTTTCAGACTGCGTCCGAGCAGGGACTGAAAAAAAAATACATTGTGTGGTTTTGTATTACCGGTATGTGTTCTACTATGAAACTTCAAGTATGAGCAGTTTTAATAAATTCATGGAAATTATGAATGAAATATTTATGTTTGATTTTTCAGGCAGTGAGTTGTAGAGACTTCTGTAAAATTCAACCTGTGGGGACACCTTGGAATTACCATACATAGAAATTTGTAGAAAGTGAAAACAAGTGACATGACAGTGAAAGTATCAAGTATCAAAGCAATTGTGAAATGGCAGTTTTCAAGAAGATGAAAATAGCATTTTCACTAAAAATGACAAAAATATTTTTACAAAATCTAAGAGGCCTACCCAATACATATGTATTAAAGTATTAAAAGCAATCAGAATAGAGGTTTTCAAGAAGAAGTCAACAATAACATTTTTGACAAAAAATAAAAAAATATTTGCTAAAATTACAGAATTGAAAAAATATTGTCATAAAATATTCAAATATAGTTTCCCAACTATCAAACAAATTGCAGTCCAAGTTTTCATGCCGAAAATAACATTTTTGACCAGAATCAAATCTGATAGGGATCCAACAGAGGAACATGTGTACCAAGTATAAAAACAATACATTTGAAAAAAAAAGAAAATGACACAGGATGCAGGGAATGACAATCATCTATTCCAATAGCTGCACCTGATTAAAACAGCCACATACGATATGGGTCCCATGCCACATATACAGCTCATGTAAAACATATCCTTTGTTACGTTCGCAGTACGACAGCAGTAGCGTGTTGCTTTAAGGTCTGATTGACAACTGCTGATTTGTTATCACTCAACATTTCTGTGATTCAGTAATTGATCATTTTGGGGGAAATTCACACCGGAGATGTAATTTGATAATAAAAGACAGTCAAGTTGAAGTTGTACAATAAATGGAACTTCTATTGGAGATGCAGTTCAAACTGGAAAATCATCATACACACTCATAAAAGTCGCATTAGGATTATTTTAAACTTGATCGATGCAATACAGAGACACATTAAACAAATAACTAATTGACATAATTAAAGGCACAGAACTTACCAGAATGAAAAGATTATTAAATATAAACAACATAGTGTTAACACTCACCGAAATTCTTCAATATTTGTCTGCAAGAAAACAAAGGAAAGAATAAACAGTTGTAATCTAATGTCTTTTTAAACTGAGTGAAGGTTTTCATAATTGGCATGAAGAGACCATTGAATTTTACGAGACTAGTTCATGGTAAATATGACGTCTGAAAATGGAATCTCCCCAAATCAGCTGAAATTGTAGTTGTACCGAGTATATGATTGTATATACAGTTGATATGAGGCACTGACAAATATTTACTTGTCCCTGATTTTCTTCGTATTTAACCAAATACAAATTCCATAACTATTGTATTAACATGTAGATGTTTTTCAAGATCATTAGGTCAATTTTCTATTGCGTTGATAATGCACACCTTGTTATGACAAAGCAAATCTGTACGGTGGTGACACGTACATCACATTAGCTTCAGAAAGCACACTGATGACTGTATCCATAGACACTGTCTACCACAAACAACATATACTCCAAGTACCTCCGTCATAGAGTGTCACACTGCACTTTTATCGGCACATAAAATGTTAGGGAGTTTAAACTACACATATGTAAACAGCATCTTGGTAGATAGTAAATTATTGGTCCACCAAAATCTCATTGTTCAGCTAAGGCCAGACTTTTATTATCCCTTGTTTCGCGAACCTGCTGAATGAACAGGAGCCGAAAATGAAATAAAAATAAAATTTTATTTCAGCGTAATTTATCGCGCCGATTTGTAATTGCAAAAAATTGCTAAAAAAAAACTTATTTTTATCTTCATTTTTTTTTCGTCCGCCGCATAACAAACCCAAGTTGCATTTTTGTGGGAGTATCATAATCAAAGTATCGAAGTCTCGCGCAGATGAGGAACAAGGTTATACATGGAATAAAATTTTATTTCATTTCTTCTCTCCGATCAATGATCTCACTTACAATTCCTTGAGAATCACACAAATCTAATGGAAAATTTTTTATTTTTAATTTTATTTTTTTTCCGCCCTCCTCAAAAAAATTGCCTTATAATAACTCGAGAAACAAGCAATAAAAAAAGTTTGGCCTAAGATAACAAAAATATACGCCATATTACCCTGTATTTGATAGTTTAGTATTTTAGTATTATATTTGTTTTGGTGATAGATAATCAATACAGGCAGTATTAGAAGCAGTAAAGAACAAAACAAACCAACAAAAATTCCATAATATGAAAACTTGTTTGCTATAGAAGTCATTGTCAATGACATAGTCCCCGTTTTGTATTATAGATGCAATCTATATATAACTTGATGTGTGAGGTATGTGTAAAGTTATAACTTGATCGGTCACAGTATATATGAGATATGGATCTGGAATTGCATTCTTTGAAACAAAATGGCCGACAGTCGGCCATTTTGAACTTGATTTGAAAAATAGAATGACCTGCATCCAGGTCCTATTGTGTTCAATGTACCAAGTTTAAACCAAATCTGTCCACACACAACTTAGATCTAGATCTGAAAATGTGTGATTTTGATGCATTTTTGGCATTAAAATGGCTACCATTCAGCTATCTTTAATCAGATTATGAAACATATGCATATGTGTGATGTATGTGTGAAGCTTGAAATTCAGATATATGGCACAAAAATTACATGAAATCTCACCTTTGACCCCTTATGGACTAGTGATTCTTGGCAAAGTTCTGCAGTCTCTTCCTTTTCAAGTTCATTATCACTTTCTCCAGCTAAAGAGACGACTTCACTCACATGTCCACTGTCACAGGTAAAACCATCGGCCCGCTGCAATGATTGGTCTGAAGTTTTTCCACTCCCAAGATGTTTTACAAATAGTTTTCCCTCTGGTAGACCATCACTACCTACAACAGCTGTACTCAAGACTGACTCAAGCCATTTTTTTTGTTTTTCTGGAATGTAACTCGGTGCACTGGCTTCAGAGACATCATCGTCGCTGTAAAACGATGCCGCAGTGTCTGGTCGACTGAACAAATGTTTGTACCCAGAAACTATCTGTGTGAGATCCGAATCGAAATCGAAATGTTCAGAGATATCAGATCGCGTTGGGCTGGGATCAGTCCTGTACGACAAACTCTTGTACTCTTGGTGACGCTTGGCAGACTGTGGTCGGCTGCGTGGTTGAGATTTGGAAGATGCAAATGCACTTTTTGATCCTGTTACAACAGGCAGCGGAGATCGTGCTTGTGCACTGGCCGGGCGACGTCTCTGTCTTGGAATACTAAGTTGGTGAGTACTCTCAGGTTTATCAGTTTTACATAGATCTCTCAAGGACCTGTCTATTTCACTAGAGGTGCTATTTGTTTTATCTCTTTGACTAGCTCCTATTGTATCTTTTTGTCTTGTTGCTATTGTTTTTTCATCTGCATAGTGTGTATTCTTTCCTAGTGAACTAAATGAACGGATTTTAGTTTTGAGTTTACTTTTTGGGCAAACACACATGAATCTATCAAGTCCACAAATATCACAGAACTCATCAGAATCACTATTTTTTTTAGCACCAGAATGTTTATCAGATGAGTCATTCTCATCATCATCATTTTTCTCTTCTGAGTCTTTTTCCTCATCTTTACCATCCTTTTTATTTCCTTTCCCATCTCCATCATCCCCACCACTACCCCCATCATTACTATTCCCACCACTTTCTCCATCACCATTACCTTGGGAACTATCACCATGGGAACCACCACCTGTGGCACCAGAACCACCAGAACCACCAGAACCACCACCACCACCACCACCACCACCGGTATGATCAGAATCATCTTTTTTATCGTCATGACTACTATTCTCCACATCTTTCTCATCACTGTCTTTTTGCTCCTCTTCTTCTTTTTCTTCTACATCAACTGCATCACTTCTTTCATTCTTTTCAAAATGTTCACTTTGGTTTAAATTGTTAGCATTTTCTGTTTCCACCATCACATCACTAAATTCAAGCTTTACAGAATTCAAAACTTTGGTTTCACTTGCATTGTCTTCTTGGTTATCATTCACACCCACACTGGAAGTATCCACCATTTGCTCCGTAGTCTCCTCCGATGTTTTTACCATGGTTTCCAATTCTTTGGAATCATTACATACAGTTTGTTCATCTGGAGTATTATCTTGGAGAAAAGATTCTTTTTCCACTGTACTTTCATTCACTTCCTCATCATCAGCTAATAGCTCATTAATACCATGGACATTTTCTAATTGCTCCAAATCATTTTGAGTTTTTGTATTTTGTTCCCTAATCTTGGAATTATTTCCGTCGACACTGTTGAGTTCATCTTTTTCATCACTTTCTGTCACAACATCACCTTTAGATGTTTCCATGACAACACTACAAGGTGTGACAGTCCTTGTATCGTCAGCATTACCAACATTATAAATATCAGAAGTATCTGTTTGGTCTATTGGTACAACAATGACTATAGATTCTTTACTACATGGGGTTTCCGCAGTCTCATCCAAATCTACAACTGCCTTTTCATCTTCCAAGGTTTCCTCAATTTGATGTAGCTCCACAACTTTCTCTACAGATTTCCTCCCAGATTCTGAATTTAAACCTTTCACATCTGTTTCAATCACAACAGAACTTTTGGTTCCTTCTGCATCACCAGCATCATAGACGGGAAGTTGCTTAGCAACCTCAATGCTGTCATCTCCTGCATTATCCATCGTCAGGGCATGTTCTTTAGCATCTTGATCTTGACTGATGCTTTCTACATTCTCCTCAGTGATATTCCCAGAAACCACTGAATCTTCCATTTCCACAGCTTCCTTTTCTTTTTTCAGCTCCGTTTCAATCTCATCACCTGTGGATTTATCATCCAGCGGCTCCTCTGTAATTTCATTTTCAGTGACATCAACTTTTTTTATTTCATCAACAGGTATTTCATCATTTTCCATCTCTTTCGTAACCTTATCTGCAACCTGAATATCAATTCTATCTTTCTCATCATCTTCAACAACTCCTCTGACAGATCCACTTTTCTCTCTCTCCATCACTACTTCATCTTCGTTATCATTACCATGGCAATGATTTGCAGTTTCTTCTTTCACACTCTTACTTTCCTCTTCTGTCTTTACTTCAGTTTCTATTTCATCATCATTTGTATTTACACCTTGTTTGTTACTTTCTCCATCCCTGTTAGCATTACCTTGACTACCATTATCCATCTTTTCAGGACTCAAAGACTTCTCTGTACCACTTGCAAGACTGTTTGGGGGTCTTTGAATAAATTCCTCATCAAACTCATTCAATGGTAAGCCTTCCTGCGAGTACTCATCCACAAGTCTGTTCACCCAGACTTGGGTTTCATCAGGCCTGCAAAAAAATATCATGAAGAAGAAATTTCAGGATTTTAAAATTTCTAAAATTGAATGGTAGTTCATCAAAAGCTAATACTATTTACAGCAAATCTCAGAAGTATTGGGGCAGCCAATTTGCAAACTCGCTAGTGAATTGGCTAACTGATTTGGTTTTGACTAAACAGTTGGCTTTCGAATCTCGCTGGCGCTGACTTGTATTCGCGTCCACTCTGGGCGAGTCTATATTGCATTAGGGGACATAGAATGTTTTTACGTAGCCTGGCAGATTTCTGGATTCCCCTGAATGATTTTGTTATGCGAGGCGTGATAATGTAAAAAGTACTAGTAGTTTCCCTGGTCAGCCTGAAAATGGCCACAGTCAGCTGGTGTACAAGCGATAATGTGATGAATGCGATTAAGGCTAATCTACCGATATTTACTATATGGGGTAGCCATTGTGAACACTGCTTGAAATTAAATAAAGAGACAAGTTGAAAAACAGTTTCCTAGGGAGAAAATCAGGGTAACATTAAGCCAGCGTCTAAAAAAAATCGACCTCATTCGTCATTTTTTGTGTGGGCAATTCCTTGTATCCGAACACCTCATTACATGAAGAACATAGAACACTTTCCTTGGTATATTTGAATGTGAAATCGCCATCCAACTGTAAGACCTTCCCCTACTGTTATATAGATTTTCCCAGAGTGGGCGTGACCAACAAACGGCGCCAGCGAGATTCGAAAGCCAACCGTTTAGTCAAAACAAAAGCAGTTAGCCAATTCGCTAGCGAGTTTGCAAATTGGCTGCCCCAATACTTCTGAGACTTGCTGTTACCGGGTTCAAAATTGAAATGATTGAAGTCTGATAGAAAATCACTCAACTCAGCTAGAGTATAATCATGATACTGAGAAAAATCTATGAATATTAAGACTAGTGTTGTAGGTATGCTTATCTTAGTGCAGTAGACCCATACATGTTATCGTGGTAATAATAAAAAATCAAGTGGTCTGAAGTGTTGTGGGTGGGCTTAAATGTGGTGAGCGGTAATAAATTGAAGTCATAGACTTGTGATATAACAATCAAGTTATTTGATTCGCTTGTTATTGGGGCAGGACTACATGCATGTTGGATTTAGTAAACAAGATTACGATAAAATGTGAATATAATCTGACAGCCAATCAGTGATGATTTATGTTTTATTATGTTATATATTGATTTATCACGTTTTTTTGGGTGTATTTGGAATGACTAGATTCCAGGCCATAAGAGCTGAACATGTGTTAAAATATTTATAAAATACAACTACTCACATGAAATCTTGTTGTCTTTCTAATAAATCGTGTTCTGATGCAATACTTGTCCTGTGGATAGACTCCTGCGTCTTAGCACGATCAAATTTCATATCTTTCAGTTTCAACTTGGATAAGAGTTCTTTTTTTCGTTGCAGCATACGAGCTTGGCTTGGCGAGTGGTCTCTCTTTTGTGCGATTACTCCCTTACATTGATGGATGGTGGGTCCGTCCTTTTTAAATTCATGTAAAGGTTTTAACCTGAAACAAAAATATATAACGGTAAATTTGAAATTTATTTGTACCAAAATTACTTGTTAACAATTCCAACATGAGTTTGGCATAAAAGAAACAAGCAGCCTCTGGCTGAGATAGCTCCGCTGTTAGCAAGGCACATTTCAATTAAAGAAATGAAGATATCATTAGAAAATGAACAATATGTATAGTATGTATAGCAATTGGACTTGCTGTTTTCAACAATAATTCAAAAATATCACTTTTTACCAAAAATGACATAAATATTCATCAAAATTAGATAATTGAAGATATCATCACAAAATGAACAAATCTGAGAGAGGTCCACATGTAGTACCTATATATGTAATATCAAAGCAATCGGACTTGCGGTTTTAAACAAGAAGTCAAAAATATCACTTTTTACCAAAAATAACAAAAATATTCACCAAAATTAGAGAATTGAGGATATCATCGCAAAATGAACAAATCTGAGAAAGGTCAACGTGTAGTACCTATATATGTAATATCAAAGCAATTGGACTTTTGGTTTTTAACAAGAAGTTGAAAATATCACTTTTTACAAATAATGACAAAAATATACACCAAAATTAAGAAATTTAAGATATCATCACGAAATGAACAAATCTGAGAAAGGTTCACATATAGTATCTGTATATGCAATATCAAAGCAATTGGACTTGCGGTTTTTAACAAGAAATCGAAAATATCACTTTTTACCAAAAATTACAAAAATATTCACCAAAATTAGGGAATTGAGGATATCATCACAAAATAAACAAATCTGAGAAAGGTCCACATGTAGTACCTATATATGTAATATCAAAGCAATTGGACTTTTGGTTTTTAACAAGAAGTCGAAAATATAACTTTTTACCAAATATTACAAAAATATTCACCAAAATTAGAGAATTGAAGATATCATCACGAAATGAACAAATCTGAGAAAGGTTCACATGTAGTATCTGTATATGCAATATCGAAGCAATTGAACTTGCGGTTTTTAACAAAAAGTCCAAAATATCACTTTTTACCAAACATTACAAAAATATTCACCAAAATTAGAGAATTGAAGATATCATCATGAAATGAACAAATCTGAGAAAGGTCCACATGTAGAATCTATATATGGAATATTCAAAGCAATTGGACTTGCGGTTTTTAACAAGAAGTCGAAAATATCAATTTTTATTAAAAATTACAAAAATATTCACCAAACTTAGAGAATTGAAGATATCATCATGAAATGAACAAATCTAAGAGAGGTCTACCCCAGGTACATACACACCAAGTATCAAAGCATTCAGGCTTGTATTTTTCAAGAAGAAGTCGAAAAAGTAAAACATTGACACGGACGACGACGGACAATCACTCATATGATAAGCTCCGCTCCAAAGTCGACAGCGGAGCTAAAAAAAAACTTGGCTGTTTTTTGTGGTTTGCAGTAACTTTTTGAATGCTAAAATGCTAAATTAAGTCAAATATACTTTCTCTACAGAAAATAAACATGCTTATAGTCTAGTATTATCAATGACAGTAGATTTTATGACATCATTCTGCAGATAAGTATGTCAATGTCAAAGTTAGGTTCTTTGTCATTAATGGGATGGGAGAGTATTAAAGTCTCTTAAATGTGGTAATTCCAGTAAATCACTAGTGACATAGTTTTCCATATTAGCAGAGATTTTAGGTATCAACAAAGCATTCATTTGTGATACAGTGCCGTCTATTGCGTGTAAATTTAAATGTCCCACTTTACAGTATACGTCGTTCAGTTTGTATTCGAGTTAACATCTGTATGTATATTATTGAAGAATAAACAAGATTGCGTTCTAGTTTACATGTGTTCGTTTCAGTTTTCACTGCTGAGAAGATCGAACCACCCTTTCCCACCACTTTTGTTGTTGCCAAGACTAGGATAATGTATCCGATTATTGAGTATCAAGGCCATGAACCATGGATATGAATACAATGTTGTTTTCGAAAATGAATAAAGGAGAAACTATTTAAGAAAAAGAGAAATTGAGCGGTAACATCAACAACAGATTTCAATATCGAAATCTGACAATTTGCGAGGCCGTCTGCCCAGTACGCTAAAGCACACTGGGTCATTGCGTTGCATCTTGTATGCACGCTTCTAGATTCCCCGGCTGATGCTGCTGTCAGGATGGCCTCTCGACTGGGTGACCTGATTTGTCAATGAACGAAGAAGGTTAGCCCAGGGGTGATTTATGAAAGAAAATGCGATAAACGAAGAGAGAGTAAGTCTACGAGTACCGGGTACATATATGTTCCACAAAGTGAGTTTCTATCCATTATGGATTGGCAGATCATTCATCATTGTTTATATATTTTTTGCGGCTACAGCGTCAGTCAAATTTATACTAGGATCTTCAAAACATTTGCACAAAAACTATAGATTTTCGAGTAGTCAACCAAACCAAACAACGTAATCCCAATTTTTACTCCTGATATTTAGCTGCAAAATTCATTAAATAATCTGAGAAAATTTTAAAAAGAAAGTCCAATGATGGGTTACTTGCATTCTTAAGTATTCATGTGAGGATTAAGGTTGGAAGTACGTTAAAAATCAATATACATGCAAAATTTATTTATTCTACAAAAAACAAAATAAAACATTTGTTGGACATTAGGGGGCGCTGTTACACACTTGAGGTACAAACAACTACCGAGACATATTTTCATAAATTCAGGGCTCTTACCACTAATTAGAATTCCATAGACGACAATGTTCGCGTTTGGGTGAATTTCTCAAAAAAAAACAGGTTATAAAGATCAAAACAATGTTTAAATTTGTAGAAACCACAACTATGTATTAGAATTCTGTCCAGTAAAACACATGTTGGTTAGCTCAAACTCCTACAAAATGGGTGTATAAAAAACACAGATTTGTCAAGCTTTCCACCTTCAATATTTTTATAAAAGTAGCCTATTTGAAAGCGTCCAATCAAGAGTTGCCCAGATCCACACGTCATGGGTTCTTGCCAATAAACAAACCTTCACACAGCTGACGTAGCTGAAGTACACCCTCATACATCACATTTCAGATAAAACACTGTGAAAGAAAACCCATTGGCTAACAACAACCATAAGAACGCTGATAAGCAATTGGTAGCATGAGATCTAAATACAACTGTTGGCATGCATGTTCTGTCATGCACACATACCTGGCTTTGAGAAGACGTCCATTTTTCTTGACAGAATGTGGTGTTTTCTGTCTGGCAAAGGCCCTGCTGACTTCTACTATGCCTACAGCAGTCAATTCCTTTAGCTCTTGACTTGGCACTGGCACCCGTTCCTAAAACACAAACAAAAAAGTAGAGTCTATCACTTACTTTATATAAATGTAAACATGTATATTAAAATGAGAATTAAACAGATGAATATTCATGATCTACATGATTTTTATGCTTATAACATTTTTTTGAATAATAGAGATGCTGATATCCCATCAATAACCTGTTTTCATTTATATTTTTTAGTAATTTTTAATGATTGAATTCATAAATACTGTTAATTGTTAGAATCAAATATATAATATGTTTTTTTACCAGTATAATTTCATCCATTGATCTTACGGGACCCTGCTTGAATGGCTGCAAAACTTGTGAATTGATATGTCTATTTATTGCTGGATCAGCAGCAGCCAGTGGTGGTACCGGATTGGGTTCCGGTGTAAAGAACGGCGGGTGTTTGGGCCAAAACTTGTTGCCTAAGGACCATAATGTTGGTGGTCCAGATAAAGCACTTGGTGATCTGAAAGGAAGTAACACTAGTCTATTAAAAGAATAGGAAAAATGCACATGTGTATCCATGCATCACTGGACAGGACATGACATCACATCCAAGTGATGGACAGGATATGACATCACATCCAAGTGATGGACAGGATATGACATCAATCACATCATAGCAAATAAATAATGTCAAAACGTGTATGGATCAACTTCACTGACATGTTTTTACAATGGAAAACAAGTAACTTGTACCGGTTCTACTTGTGAATACAAAACATATGTTGTTCAATAAATAAAACATGAAAATCAAGATCGAATAGTTTGCTTCTTGTCAAAAATCAAATTTTAAAAGTGATGCAGTGGTAGTTCATAGTAAAATTCATAAGTGTCATCGTTAACTTTTGGCACCATTTACAAAATTATTTTCTACAGTCTGCTCCTATCCACATGAAATTTAGATAAAAATTGACAAACCTTTTGATCAAAAACCAAAAGCAATATTTGAAACTGTCCTTATGGTTCAAAATAATAATTAAATTTAGGAAATATTTTACAAAATGTGAAAATATTTGAATTTAGGGTAAAAAAAAATGCTGGCACTCAATAGGTCAATACTTCATTTAGTAAACTGGAATAATTGTTTTAATAGTTTTGTCAAAATTGTTGATGAAGACCAGACTCCAATTTGAAATTCTGTCTACTTGAAAATATTGCAAAATATGTTAGCAAGAAATATAATGCACAACTAGAACAGCCATTTAAACAGTTTTAGTCATGTTTATTGATCTCTGCAGTTCTGATCAAAGCACTTTCACAATTTCATAACATAGAAAATTTTGTGACAAGCTATTTACCAGGCGATATGTGTTATTGACAAGAAACAAAACTATTCCTGTTGATGGCGTTCCAACACAAAGCATACATACATAATATAAAACACCCAACATAGTCACTGTAAGAATCACAAGAAACACACACTGCAAAACATTATGGAAAATAGCAAGCACAGATGCATGTATGTGTATACAGCAAATAATCTAGCATGACATGCAGTATTTTTATAACATCATCACTTATTGGCTGAAGAAAGTGAATCTCAATTCACGGTTGATCAACAGACCAATCATAATCACTGTTACAAAATACTGCATGCCATGAAAGAAGGTAAGGTGAAAGCACGGCAGGGAGTACATGCATTATATAGAATAGCAGGCATACTAACGAGGATTGGCTTTTACCGGCAGACAAGGACTTAAGCTTGCCTCTCCTGAGCTCCCCTTTCTTGTTCCTAGGCACAACATTATATTTACACAAGTAATGATTAAATAAAGAAAATTTAACTTTACCAGAATGTGATACAATTTATTGAAATTGCATGCAAAGGAGATTTGAACTGAATGAATTGTAATGCAATTAACGTGCAATTGTGTATAAATTATGCAAACTACTAAACATCTGTAAACCTGTAAAAATGCAGCAAATATGCAAATTATGGTTAAATATGCAAATTAGTCAAGTGTGTGAAATACAAAAAAATTAAAATTCTATGTATCTCAAATTAATGATGTTACCATATTTGTTCTATTAGCGTAAATAACAGAGGGGTGTCTATAGGATAAGTCATATTTCAAGAATTCGGGTTTAGTTTCTGATAGAGCAAATGCACGTGCCCAAAAAAAAAAAAACTTATGCGACCCGATATTTCATATTTTTTGGTCGGCCGCTGATGGAAACAAAACAATTTTTTTTTTTTGGCCTTAATGCATTGCATTCAGTGAAACACTATAAATACTAGAATTCATTGGACAACTTTGAAAAAACCTGTTCTTTATGAGTTTGTTTCATTTTATTCAGCTCATAATGGTGATGAATATATGGATGATTTACAGCCGAGACGTATACCAGGGCAACAAGTCTGTGTTTATGTTGAGGGCAGTATACACTCATGAATTATGTTGAGGGCAGTATACACTCATGGAGCTATTTTTAACAAATTGGTCTGTATGAAAACTGTACGGAGACCTTCCTCATACACACGACTATTATTTGTCTGTATGTTTGCCTCATTCATTATGCAAATGATATGCAACTATGCAAATTAATAGATGTTTTCAGTCTGCATTTTCAACTTTTCACATTAAAATAACATTAATGAACAATAATCAAAATGTAAGGTACATCTCATTCTTGATTGGTGTACACCATATGTGATATAAACCTGCATTGAAAAAATTTACTTAATAATCACAACCCATTAGCTACTCAAGTCCTAGCCAATCAGAAGACACCATGTTTATGTAAAGTACTTGAGATGATATGTGAATTCCATAGTTAACTGTGAATACTCCTAATAAGAGCGATAAAGCTATAGCTGTAATGCAAAATGTAATATATTCTTCTATTACTTGGCCCATCTTATTTTTGCTCAGAAAATAATTTGTTTTTTTACTCTAGCCATTCAACCACCTGGCAGCGAATAGAAACATTCAGATGCTGAAATTTCACTTTCTTATTGACGAAAAATCAAATTTGTTATATCTTTCGACAAGCTTTTTGTTTCTGTGTTTCACACCTTTTTAGGAATTACTCACAATGACATCTTAACATCACAGAATATTGAACTGTTACGCCAGCAAGTTGGCAAATAGCCTGCACATTGCCTGGCAGGTTGTGATTTTAATAAAACAGTTGGCTTATTCAAGTGAAAAGGTACCTGTATCATTTCAAATACTCACTTATGAAGGTTATAGAATTCCAATGGAGTCATGCGACCAAGATACGATGGCGATTCAATATATTCAAATTGACGAGCTGACGGAGCTGATCTGGAGACCAAGTTATTGCGACTCATAAAAATAACAGGCTCAGGTTGTTGTTGTTGTTGTTGTTGTTGTTGCTGCTGCTGATGCTGTGATTTCACTTCCTTTTTGCTCTGCTTTTTCTTCTTAATGGATTTACTGCTTGATCTTTCATTATTTTCATCTGTAAGCAATAAAGAACAAAAATATTTGTCATCAAAGTGAACTAATGCGTTATAAAAGGGGGTTTATTGCTTATACATAGCAAGATCTTGCCTGTGAAAGGCATGGACTGAGCATCAGTTGCAATAGACGAACAATTTGATTTTGAATTTTAAATTTTTCTTTTTTTACAACTTAATATCAAAATAATGATTTTTGAAAAGGGAATATTGTGTTAAGAAATTGAAAATAATTAATAAGCATCAAATTACCGGTACCCCCAGAACACATCCCCATGTGATGTTTTGACATCACTGCGTTGCTATGACCTTTGTTTCTCCTGTTTTTATGCTCAATTTCACGCATAACACAGGATCACGTGGTGAACAACAAATTTTACAGCACTATTTGCCATGTTCTTACTACAAAAAGTTGCATCAGTATGAGTTGAACAGGGTAATTAAAATCGTGTTCTTGCATTCACACCAGTAATTTTGTACAACGATTGTAAATATGATAATGCAGACAGAGATGCTAGGCAATGGTTGACCAAATGTTGATGGACTTTGTGTTTTTTTGTTTGTCCTTGAAGCAATCTGTCTTTCTCTTACACCAGCTGAACTTACATCATCAAAAAGAGACGTGAACACATTAATATACAGTAGAAATGAAATTGTTGGTTGTAGTCAATGTTGATATCAAGAGCATTACTAGAACCAAGGTGCAAGCTCTGTAATTCATAAGAAGATAAGAGGTGTTCCTAAACAGTTTTCTTCAGTCCTTGTGCTAGTTTACAAAATTTAAACTCACAACAGTATATGGTTTTCAATCATAAACCCTACAAAACACACAATTACCAATGAATACACTGAAAAATGATTTAGTTTGCAGCAGAAACAAAACACAGATGTTTTTAAAAGAACAATTAGTATTTGTACAGAAATTTTATTGTAACTGTGATTAGAATTGAAACGCCAAATTCCATATCATCACCGTCATGTACCACTAAATAATGTCTGACAGTGAAATCAGTTAATCATGCAGTAAAAAAAAAGCATTATTGACTCAGTACCTAGGCTACACAGCAACGTGCATATGTGCTGCACATTCAACAAAAAAACAAGGTGTGATAGAAGATTATTCTCTAATCACACAATAAGTATTATATTATTTTTGTGTTAATATAAACACATGTATCTGAGACTAAACACTAAATCAATTTTTGTCTCTTGGCAGGCAAGTGTTTGATATCGGCCATGTTGCGAAGCTGATGGCAAGGGCAGACAGAGGCCGGCCACTTGATACCAGCATGCCGGCCCATGAAGTTGGCGAAAAAGAACAGAGACATGCATTTGATATGATCTTGACGACAGGGGCATAGTCAAGCATTTGATATCAACCACGCCGTACGGTTGACAGCAAGAGCACAGTCAGGGCACTTGATATCAGCCATGCTGTGAGGTTGATGTCGAGAATAATTCTATCTTAATATATATAATGATTTTCAATTTTCGCTAAATGCACTCATTGATCAAGTTTAAGTAAAAAGTGTGAAAGCAAACAACCATGGTGGTAGATACACTGAAGCACAACAAATTTAATCATTTTTTAATCAGGCAATCTCAAGTGGCAAGCAACAACAGAACAACAAAGCTTCACCGGAGTAATCGTCGCATGGCATTTCATTACCAAGACAACTTATGCGTCTGCCATGGAATTCAATTTTGAACACTCCAAGCTGAGTAAAACTGAGTGCAGAAGCACAATACATATATACAAATGTACACTTTGGCTTTTATTGAGTTTTTATGGTGACTGCACAGGCATAAAAATGGCACACACAATGTACAAGCCCTCTCATATTTCATAAGTATCCGCTGAATACTACATTACCCATTTACACCTTGATTCAAACTTCTGGTTTATTTTATTTATTTTTTATTTCAGACAAATGAGTCCATATCCCTTCTTATTACCCTTACTTGTAATTTAATCCCGTGATACATACAGTATGCTGACAAATGAGCAAATTTATTTAGGAGAAACGACATACCAAAACAAATTTGAGTAATTAATTTCTGGTTGCTATGGTGAAGCAAGCTCTAAAAACGTTTCAAACACAGTTTCATCTCACTGGAGAGCATAAAAAGCATATGAGGGTGTATAAAAAGTTATAGCACAATCAGTGGGCAATACTTGTCTTTCATACCTGTGCACACAGTAATACAATGCCAGTTTACAAAGAACTATCACATAAAACCTGATCTGATTGTGGACTAGGTGACAGTTGAATTGAAAGATAGAGTTCAGACAAATAGGATCATAGAGGTGAAATATTCGGACAGACAGGGTAATCATATAAAAGGAGTCCTTTGTCAGAAATGAACTATGAGAGTCAATGTTTTTTTAGGACAAAGTCTTCATGGGGTTTAAAATTACTTTTAGACCAAGTAAGGGTATTCAATAATGGTGAAAATAGTTTTCACCAATTTGCTTCATGTCCTGGGAATAAGTGAAAAATGATGCAATTTAATGTATTTTTGTTAAGACTATTCAATACCTTAACAAACAGATTTCACAGGCATTCAACCAGTAAATTTAGGTAAAAAAAAAATATTATTGTTTTTTGTTCTTTAAACAAGTCTTCAACATCAACTTTTGTTGTAGAGACACGAGACATGCAGTGAAACTCGCCTCAGGGATTTGCAATGTAGTTTGTACAGACAACATCACCATCACCGTATCCATACACTGTAAGAGCATTAGTAGCTTTGCTTTTTTTAGCCACTCAAGTAAATATGTACTTGCATAATATTTAGTATGTGCGGTGTACAAATTATATTATATCGGCTATGTTTGCCATTTGAATTTTAGCTGTTTATCAAAATAACCTATAATTTGGGAATCTAAGACTTGTACATCTCACATACCTTTCCTACATCATCCTGGTCAATGTTTTTAACCTCTTAACCAGTTAAAGGAATTGGTAACGTAACTGTGAACTAATGAATTCAACTATGATAACAGTGAATAAATAACTGAAGACAAACCTCAAGCAAAGGTCATTACAGGTAACAACCAAGGAAAGTTTAGCGAGACTATCTTACTTAAAATCTTACTGAAAAACTGCGAAATTACCTCCAGTAAAGAGAACAAAGGCGTAATATTCTTACAAAGTATAAAAATAACATTGCTCTTTCACTACATCTAAAAAATACCATATACAAAACACCGCCTGAGACCTTTTAAATTTGAAGTTATTTTTAGTTGTATTACTTATACCTTATTTTACATTATTTTTACCTTACTGTGTCCACAGCAGATTACAGTTGCGTAATAAATAAACTATTAGTATTTAAATTATTATTAACTGTTAAAATACTTATTAAAATAATTTAGACTATGAAAACTAATATCATCGCTGAA